TTTTAAAGGAACTGCTCAGGAGGGGGCTCTAGGTCTGGCAGGAGTTGGCTGGGTCCTGGGCCTCACCTGTCTAGGCAGCCTGAGGTCCACAGGCCAAAGGCGCATGAGGGTTAGATGAATGCTGTCCCTGGGGCACTTCCAGGAACAATCCACCTACCCAAGTATTCCACTAAACCAGCTTAGCTGGCTCCCCGACTCAGGGATGGGCAGTGTATTGTGTGATTAGGTGATGGTGTAGGGCGGGGATTTAGAGCAGCAGCCAAATCAGGCCAGCCAGAAAGCTTGAGCCTCGAAGGAAATAGACACCCACTCATCCACAGTGTCTGGATAGGCTCAGCACAAACCACCTCAATTATGCATTCCCAGAAACCCAAAAGGGCCCACCCCATGATGGAGGGCACCTGCAAAAGCACTTGAGAGGGATGTCCCAAGCTCAGAGGTGTCAACAGCATCCACCCACTTGCCTATCCCCAGGTATCTGGCTGGGTCAGAATGTATGGACATCAGCCCAACGCCTGACCCTGCTAGCATGTCTTCAGAACCATGCACAACTGCCCTTGGCCGCAGGCAAGACAGGCTGGGTGTTAGGGTTCAGGGCCCTTCTCTCCAGTGTCCTTGATTTATATACCCTCTCTGCCCTGTACATAGGCAGAACTGGACCACAGACACTCTGGCTTCAGGCGGGCCCTTCACATCCAGCAGCCTGAGCAGCAGGGTCTGTGATAAGCCCTTGTCAGAATCAGTCCATGTCTCCCCAGCCACTCCTGCCACATGCTCACACAAGCACGCACGCGCGCACACACACACACACACACACACACACGCACACACGCACACACGCCATCACGTCTGTCCATGGGCCCGCCTGTGGGTCCGCCCGGGGCCTGCTTCTAGGTCAGACCTGCCTGGGCAGGACTTCCTGGGAGGAGCTGTGGCAGATGCTGCTCTCTGGGGCACCATGGCTGGTGGTGTGTGGGGCAGGGGCCGGGGCCAGGGCCGGGGAGCTGGTGTGGGGGCCCTAACTCTGGCAGCTGTGGCTGAAGGGATCCGGGCCAGCCAGGAGCAACCCTTGGGGCCCCCTTCCACCAGCCCTCAGCCCAAGCCCCAGGAATTTGAATCTGAGGCAGAGACCCAGGTCCGGGATGCCACCACTGCCTCTGGGGTTGAGCCTGGAAGTGAAGCCTCCTCCTCTGCAGCAGGCAATGAACCCTACTCCCTGCACAATGCTCAGGCTCAGGAAGCAGTCCCTGCGGGACCCTACCAGGTGAGTGTTGAGGCACAGAGCCCTGGGGGCAGGAGTGGGGATGGCCATCTTCAGGCTCTCGCTTGGACACTACATGGCCCAGGGCTGCTGGAGCTGGGGGAAAGACGGGGTAAAATGGACTGGAGGATGAGCCTGGCTGTGGAGTTTTGTAGCAAACTGGGGAGGAGAGCTGAGAGAGGCAAGGGGACTCTACCAACCCTGTCCTGGGCTCCCCCAGAGTTCCTGGGAGGAGGGCACCCTCGCTGACCTGGCCATGTATACGGCTGCCTGCCTGGAGGAGGCTGGCTTTGCGGGGACACAGGCCACGGCGCTCACCTTGTCATCAGCCCTGGAAGCCAGGGGGCAGAAGCTGGAAGACCAGGTCAGTCTCACTCCCTCTCAACCTTTGAGATGAGGCTGGCCCTCCAAAGCAAGGGTTTGGAATCCCGTAGACTGGCCTACACACCCCACTCAGGATGCCGGGTGGGGTGGGGTGCTTGGGAGGGTCAGTTCAGGGTTAAGCAGGCCTGACTGCTGACGTCTGTTTTCTCCACCCAGGTGCACGCCTTGGTGCGCGGGCTGCTGGCACAGGTCCCCATCCTGGCTGAAGGGAGGCCCAGGCGGGCTGCTCTGCGAGTGCTTAGTGCCCTGGCCCTAGAGCACGCACAGGACGTGGTGCGTGCGCTGCTGCCGCACTCCCTGCCCCCAGATCGGTAACCTGCCCCACCTACTTCCCCATGGTTCCACGCAGCTTCCTTCCTTGTTCCCGCTTGGCTTGGCTGTGAAGTCTGGCAATGACTCGCAGGGAGTTGTAATGATGCAGAGCCCCCAAATTCTCTCCTCTTTACTGTTGCCTCCTTTCCATGCTCCTTTTAGCTTAGCAGCCCCCTGTCTGGTCTAAGGATCCCTGATGTTGGGGTCTTGGCTTGGGACTGCCATATGTTGAGAGCTGGGGCTCAGATAGGGAAGTGGAATTACCCCAGGGACCAGCCTGGGGTTTCTTTTTTTGGATCAGAGTGAACAAACAGGAGCCTGGATGCCCCTAACTCTGCTTAATTTTTTTTTTTTTTAAACCGAGGATAGAACTCAGGACCTTGCCCTTGCCAGGCAGGACACTGCTTAATTTTGCCCTGGATGTTATTTTATTCTCCATGGTGATACATTGTTTAAAATAATACAAGGTCTGTCCTTGACCCGACAGGGCTCCAGGAGGGTCAGCACTTAGCAGCTGATCCTGTGGATCCAGCTCTGCTGTGGTCTTCACAGTTGCCACTCACTTCCTCTAAGGCTTGGGCAGGGAGGACACAAGGTTTTCTCCATCACCCTGCTGGAGTCCTGTCGGCATCTCTACTTCAGCCGCAGCAGCTCCCCAACCCTGACTCATGCTGGGGCACTTTGTGTTCCCAGAGCAGCAGCTGAGCTGTGGCGCAGCCTAAGTCGGAACCAACGTGTAAATGGGCACGTGCTGGTGCAACTGCTGTGGGCACTGAAGGGGGCTTCTGGGCCTCAGCCCGAGGCACTGGCGGTGAGTGGCTCCAGCTGCCCTGGGCAATGGTGACTTAAGTGTGGACCATACATGTCCCTTGAGGGTTTGTTCTTACCCTGTCTTGGTGCCCTGGTCCTCTGGAGCCAAACTTGGCCCCAGTGCAGCTCACACCTGAGTGGACTGCTTGTTCCACAGGCCACGCGTGCCCTCGGGGAGATGTTGGCTGTATCAGGCTGTGTGGGAGCGACACGTGGCTTCTACCCACACCTGCTACTTGCACTAGTCACACAGCTGCATGAGCTGGCTCGTAGTGGGTGCTGTCCTGAAAGTCCTAAAGTTTGGGTCCTGTCCCACAGAGGGCCACCACACAGCCATGCCAGGTAAGAAAAGATGGCTGAGTAAGTAGGGAGTGGGCCAGCACTTTCGTGGCCTTCACTGTCCACTCACCTGCTGCTCCCACCTCAGCTGCACAGTGGAAGCCGTGAAGGCCCTGCTCACTGGGGATGGTGGCCGTATGGTGGTCACATGCATGGAGCAGGCAGGAGGCTGGAGGAGACTAGTAGGATCCCACACCCACCTAGAGGGTGTCCTGCTGCTGGCCAGGTGAGGGGGCCTCCAGAGGGCACATCTGGAGGGGACTTGTGGCTGACCAGGTGCAAGCAAGAGTAGGGGGTGTTTCTCCAAGACCCTCCCTCATGCAAAAGGAAAGCTCCTTTTTGCCTCATCCCAGTGCCATGGTGGCACACGCGGACCACCACCTGAGAGGCCTCTTCGCAGACTTGCTTCCCCGGATGCGCAGCACAGACATTCCACAGCGCCTTACAGCGATGGCTTTCTTCACTGGGGTGAGCTCACTTCCCAGAAAAGTAGTGAGGGATGAGTACTTGAGCTCAAAGCGCCCGTAGCCAACCCAGGGACCAAGAACATACTGGCTTTATGTCCCCTGCTAGTTGCTACAGAGCCGGGCCACCACACAGCTCCTGCGGGAAGACATCATCCTGGAGCGGCTTCGTACCTGGCAGCGTGACCCTGAGCCCACCGTGCGCTGGCTGGGTCTGCTAGGTCTCCGGCACCTGGCCCTGAATTGTGGGAAGGTAACACCTGGCTGGTGTGGGAGTGGGGACAGGGTCTGCCTGGGATGGCCATTAGACCTTGTCACCACAGGTACGGCACATGAGCACTCTGCTGCCTGCACTGCTGGGTGCAATGGGAGAGGGCGACGTACGGCTTGTGGGTGCAGCTCTAGGAGCCCTGCGGAAGCTACTGGTGCAGCCAGGAGTACCAGTGCGGCTCCTGAGCTTGCAGCTAAGGTTGCGCCTCCCACCACTGCTGGATGATGTGAGCAAGGCCTCGCCCTGGCCCTTGTCTTTCCATTCCCACCCCTAGTCATACCTGGCCCTTTGGTGGCCCAGCCCCTCCTTGAGGGAGTTCTCCCTGGGCTTTCTCTGCTTCTCTCTGCCCCCAGTTGCTCTTCTACCCTGGCATCCTTCTCTCTCTCTCTGCCATCCTGATTGTGCCCTTCCTTGCAGGCCCGGGATTCCATCCGCGCCTTAGCAGTTGGGCTTCTTGGTACACTGGTGCGGCGGGGCCAAGGCAAGCTCCGGATGGGACTTCACGGCCCCCTTCGGAAGCTGGTCCTGCAGAGTCTCGTGCCGCTGCTGTTGCGCCTGCATGACCCTAGCCGAGATACTGCTGAGGTCAGCTGTCCCATCCATACCTCCCTTCCCTTTCCCAGGTTACAGGTCAAGGACACCCATGAAGACCCTGAAGCCTCCCAGGTTTCTAGTCTTCCTTGAGGCCACTGTACTCAAGTCCCCTGCCCTGGGTACTTCCTATGCTCCTCCTATACATAACTTCTTTGCTCCAGCTCTTGCCACTGTTTGCATCCCTAATCCTCCTCCCTTCCCCTATGTCAGAGTTCAGAGTGGACACTGGCCCGCTGTGACGAGGCCCTTCGCTGGGGCCTGCTGGAGGAGATAGTCACTGTGGCCCACTACGACAGTCCAGAGGCTCTAAGCCGTGTCTGCCACCGCCTGGTCAGTAGAGGAAGCAGGTGCTGGTAAGGGGGTGTAATCAGTTGCCCACTTGGTCCAGGATTCTCCAGGCCAGTCCAACAGCTGGATCTGACCACCACGTTCCTAATGGGGCAGATCCATACCTTCAAACTATGCTACCCTCCTGGGGTCTTCCCAGGGGACCTCACCCTGCAGATATCTTTGCATCCTCCTTTCCAAGCAGGTTTAGTGTTCCTGTCCTGTTATGGGCCCTTCTGTTCCCAGGTTCAGCAATACCCAAGCCACATCCCTTGCTTCCTGAGTCAGACCCAGGGCTACCTGAGGAGCCCACAGGTTCCCCTGCGCCTAGCTGCCACCGTGTTTCTAGGTGAGGTGCTAGTCTCTGCCAGCAGGGTTCTAGAAGCTGTACCAGCCTCTCCCTTCTGGACCCTGGGGCTGGAACTCACGGATTTGTTTTGGTCCAGGCTTCCTAGTCTACCATGCATGCCCTAGCCATGTCAACCAGGATCTGCTGGACTCCCTGTTCCAGGGTGAGAACCCAACATTCCTGAGTGTGGGGTCCTACAGAGATGGCAGCACTAGGGGAGAGTGGAGGGGAGTAAATAGGTTGGAGTCAGGGGAGGGCACCCTGCCCACCCTTCAGGATCTCAGCTGCTGATTTGCTCAGACCTAGGGCAGTTGTACAGCGACCCAGAACCTGCTGTGGCTGCAGCGGCACACGTGTCCACACAGCAGGTGGCGCTGCTGGCCTGTGCACAGAGCCAACCTAGCCGAGGCCTCCTTCTGCAACTGATCTCTCGCAATACCTACCCCGCCAGGCCCACACCATGCTACGCTGACAGCCCATTCCAGCATCGGAGCCTTGAGGGCCGGTGGGGCTGCAATGGACCCTGCTCCCCTGGCCCTGTGCCAAGCTTCTAACGGAGGCATGGCAGCCTTGCAGTCACTGGTCCCCACAGCAGAAAACCTGTGGAATGCCTTCATGCAAGGTCCCCTGAGCCTGGTGCTGGACACCAGGCCCTTGTCCTGGGACTGCCCTCCAGGGGCACCATAAGACAGTATGGAAGAGGGTCAGCTGATAGCATTTCACCCTGAAACCCTCACCTCTTGACCACAGGATCCATCTCCTTATCAAATCTATTCCCCCTCCCCTCGGAAGAACATGGGCCCAGACCCTGGCCTTCAGAGCCTCTGGCCTCCCAAACCAGGGTCTGGTGGGGACACTGAAGGGACCTGCCTCCTACTGGGCCCATGCCTCCTGCCTGGCCTCGGCTGCCCCACCTGTGAGTCTCTCTCACCACCATACACCACCCTGTTCCTTGACTTCTCTGCTATTTCTTTTCTTTTCTTTTGGGCACCAGCAATCAAACTTAGGATCTTGCACTTGCCAGGCAGGCATTTGTGCCACTGAGTATTGTCTGTTGTTTCTGACTACTGTTCTGGCTCATGTTCCCTGAGCTTATGAGGTGTTGACCTGCCCTACTGGCCATAGCTGCTGTTCCCCTCCACTGGCCACATGACCTCCCTCCTCCTGTGACTTTGTTTGGAAGACTTTGTTTGCAATCCCTTTTAGCTGGGCAGCAAAGCCTGGGGGTACACCAGAGGTCGAGACATGGGGGTGGGTACCCCATAGCAGATAGCAGACTGTGAGTAGGGGCTGTGACACTCAGCACAGGGCTGAATGGGAATGGTGGCACTGGACAGATGGGAAGAGGCCCCTCTGGGGGCTGCCAAAGCTGTGACCTCACCCCTTTGGGTGCTTGCTTGGGCAAGTGCCCTCACCCAGGCCTGTGTTGAGACAGACTCTCAACTTTCAAGGCCTCATTGTGAAGGGTTGGGCTGTTCCCCCACACTGGGGGTTCTCAGGGGCAGGCATGGGGTCCTGTTCACCTCATCTCTCCTGCACCCTATGGAAAGTTTTAAAATAAAATATAAATGCCAAAGATTGCAGGAGATTGTCTGAGACTTGTGCGTATGCTGAATACACCAGACTCGAGATCTGGCTTCAGCTAGGGCAACAGTGAAGCATGGGGCAGCCTGGTGGCAGGTTCAAGGGCAGACAGTTCGGGCTTTGGCCAGGGTCAGGGTGCATGTACCTTGAGATGGGACAAGCTGAACTATATACTTCAACATGCTGAATTAATGTGATCAAAGTTCTACCAGGACTGGCATTAGGGTCTCTTTATACGTGGTCCTCAGAGCAGGGTCAGGTCAAGGGCCTAGGTCTTCATGGAGACAGAGGCAAGGATCAGCAGTAATTTGGATCTTCTAGAGCAAATGCCAAGCACAGAGTGGGGATGCATGCCTGGAATCCAGCACTAGGGAGGCTAAGGCAGGAGGATCATTCTGACTTAGAAACCAACCTGTGCTACATAGTGGGTTTAGGGCCAGCCTGTCTCAAAAACACAAAATCCAGGGCCACAGAGATAGCTCAGTGGTCTAAGTGCCTGCCTAGGCAAGTGGAAGAATCTGGGTTCAATCCCAGGTACCTCATGCCATGCTGGCCCCGCCTCAGACATGTTGAGCCAGCCACAAAGATGGGGCATGGTGACGCATGCCTGTAATCTCAGTGCTGGGGAGGCTAAAACAGGAGAATTGCTATGAGTGTGAGCTGCATAGTGTACCAAATACATTAAAAAAGAAAAAAAGCTAAAGTTAAAAAAGCAGCAACAAAGCAGATGCCAAAATGGGAGCACGCTGGTGAAGTTACTAGGTACCTATGAAAGAGAGGAAGGGAAGGAAAGGAGGCTGGATGGAAACACGGGGTTCTCAAGCTGGCCTCCTATCTGGGAGTCACTCACACGGAGGGCTGGGTGTCAGGACACAGCCTAAATGAATCCCCTCAGGAGCAGCTCTCTATCCCATGAGAAAATAAACCTGTTCTTCATGCTCTTCTTGCAGCCCCTCGGGGTGGATATGTGAGTTTCCACTGTGCACAGGTTTATTTGCATCCCAGCTCATAGCCATACCACCTGGTAAGCAAACTCAACAATGCCTCAGGGTCCACCCTCAGAGGGGGCCTCAGGTGGGGAGGCAGCCACAGTGAACAAGGCAGTGCCCTGTCACTCCACCTCCATGGTGCTGGGGAGAACTAACACGCTATTCTTTGGAAGGCTGCTTGGAGCCAGGCTGTCTTCTTATCCACACATCTCTGCTCTGGCTATATGTCTATCCCACCTACCTTGGCTCTGCTTGGGTACCTGCCAGGCCCAGACTCCCTGTTAAGATGTTTGCTTCACACAAAATATACATGGCCTCTCGGAATGTGACTCTATAGCACAACTGTGCTGGAACTGCAGGGAAATCACCAGTGGCCTGGCCCCTTGGTGGGCTCCAGCACCCAGGCCTATCTATCGCTCAGCCGGCAGAGAGCTGAACCATGGTCAGTCTTCCAGCTGGGGCCGAGGCTCAGAGGACCAGATGAATGCACCCTGGCTCAGGCACTCCCTCGTCAGAGCAGGCCTTGCCATAGGGCCAGCTGGTAATGCTTTAATAGTCCCTGCTGCCACAGACCTCATGATGGCCCCGGATCCAAGGGCCAACAGTTAGACCCTCTAAACGGGCTTGGTTGGACTGAAAGGATCCACTTATAGCTTGGCCTTGAGGGCTTTGGGGCTTCAGAAGTGGCGCTGTGGTGCCGACCTGTTCAATGCTTTCTACAGCCTGGGCTGTTCACCCTGGTTTTGCTCTAAAATGACCTTAAAAAAGGTTTTCAAAGGAGGAATGTGACCCTGAGAGGGGCTGAGCCCCTTCACCGTATGTGGAGACTGATTTCTAGGGTTCTGTAACCTAGATCTGAGATATTTTCAGTGCCTTTTGTTTCAATGTTAATTCCATTGCTGGGTTTTCTGGGAGTTTTAATACCACAGCCATAAAAGAACCTACTGTCCCTTTTTGTGGTTGTTAGCAATTCCTATAAATGAAATGGCCAGGTATGGTGGCACAGATAATCCCAGAATTCAGGAGGCTGAGGCAGGAGAAGTGCCAAGAGTTTGAGGCCAGGGGCTGGCGAGATGGCTCAGTGGTCTAAAGCACCTACTT